TTCCAGCCATTAAAGCCTTCGACAATACATTGTCTGCTTCCTGCTTGGGGGAATCCTTTGTCGGGAGGTGTTAGGCAGGAAGCAGCCAAGCCTTGAAGCTGCATGGCCATTCAATGCTCATCAAGGTGGCCATTTGCAACATTCACACTTGCCTCAAGCAGACAAGAGTTCTTCCTCCCACCCTGGACATTATTCTACGGGTATATAAACTAGTTTTCAACAGACATCTTTGAGGATGCATGCCATAGAAGTGGGTGAAACCCTTTTGCTTCTCTTGATGTTGTCATCCACGCTGCGTGCCCACTGGGGAGAATTGTGTTCGCTGCTTTGGGGTTGGACGCTGTCTTGGCCATCTGGACCTCTTTGTGTTATGTATTACACAGTCCATGGGTCAAACCCCCCTTTTTGGACCGCCTAAAGGCAACCTTGATTTTGCCATTTTATGTAAGAGGCACCATTTGACTCTGGAATGGGGTTTTGAGCATGCACCGTCTGCAAATGCCTCTCTCTCTCCCTCTCAGGCCATTTCCTTTGAAGGACTCCCTCTTTGCTCCTTGCCTTGACCGCTTGCATTACGAAACTCTGCCCCACTCGACCCACCCACAACTAAAACGTCCTCCTCCTTCCATAAACACAAACATGTCTTCTGAAGCTCCATTTGGTTCGCCTCTTCTTCCCAAAGAAGAGACTTGGGAGGAGGGAGGGCATGGGTTGGCCTGTTTGGGGGTCACCAAAGGCCCTGGCACTGGTCAGAGGGATGAATGGGGTCCTGAGGAAGGGGAGCAAGCCCTTTCCCCTCCTTTGCAAAACTGTTAGTCTACTGGGAGGCGTTTGGGCGGGAGCGTCCGTCTCCTTGGCAAGCCTCCCTGGCTTTGGGCTGCAGGCAGACTTTCTGTTCCCTTTCAAGAGGTCATTGGGGGCCAAGGCTGTGCCTCCTCCTCCTTGGCCACCGCCTCTCTTTCTCCTCCTCCATGACGCTTGCTAAGGCTGGCAACTCAAAGGACCTTCCTTGGCTCGGATGCGCCGCTGGGGTGCCAGCCGGGCAGTCCATTCCTGATGGGCAGCATCCGAGATGAGTGTGCGGAGAAGGTGGAGAAGTCGGAGTGCCACTTTAGAGCCCACGGAGGAAGAGGCTCTCAAGTGGCTCAAATGTTAAACAGATGGCTTCAGCCACATTGGACAGGCTTGTGAGGTGGGCCAGCCTTTGCACAGCCTCCCCTTCTGGGTTGTTGTGTCTGCTCAAAGAAGGTGCAGGATTTGCACCAGGTGTCTCTGATAATAATAACAACAATAACAACAACAACAATTTTTTGTATCCCGTCTCCATCTCCTCAGAGGGACTTGGGGTGGCTTACATGGTGACTAAGCCCAGTCAAAATAGTTAAATATATGTAGTTAAAGCAGCAAAATTAGCAAAAAACAAAAACAAAAAAAAATTAGTAAAGTTCCCAAAACGAAGGATAGTCCATGAGCTTCAAGGCAAAATATGATCCATTGGAACAACAATCCATAGAATCATAGAATCAAAGAGTTGGAAAAGACCTCATTGCCCATCCAGTCCAACCCCATTCTGCCAAGAAGCTGGAATATTGCTGAAACATGAAACAAGGCAGCATGAAAAGTCCAATACACAACTCAGGAGCTTGGCAAAAACTTGGTACATGAAACTAAGAACACTTGAGAGCAAGACCGTCATGAAATTCCAACGTTGACCCAACTGAGGCAACTCTTTCCCATCAATATAAGGCTTTTCCAGATCCCAAAACCAAAAGGACAGCATTCCTCTTGACCTTACACCGGATAAATGTTACTTATCTCTCTTTTCTTGTATACGAACTGACCTTGTTTGCATCTGAGCACTCTGCCTCTGTTTACAAAAGCCTTGCCTTCTATCTACACTCTCATTAACTTGAATCATAGAATCCTAGAATCAAAGAGTTGGAAGAGACCTCATGGGCCATCCAGTCCAACCCCATTCTGCCAAGAAGCAGGAATATTGCATTCAAAGCACCCCTAACAGATGGCCATCCAGCCTCTGTTTAAAAGCCTCCAAAGAAGGAGCCTCCACCACACTCCGGGGCAGAGAGTTCCACTGCTGAACGGCTCTCACAGTCAGGAAGTTGTTCCTCATGTTCAGGTGGAATCTCCTCTCTTGTAGTTTGAAGCCACTGTTCTATTGCGTCCTAGTCTCCAGGACAGCTCCCTCCTCCCTGTGGCTTCCTTTCACATATTTATACATGGCTATCATGTCTCCTCTCAACCTTCTCTTCTTCAGGCTAAACATGCCCAGCTCCTTAAGCCACTCCTCATAGGGCTTGTTCTCCAGACCCTTGATCATTTGAGTCACCCTCCTCTGGACACTTTCCAGCTTGTCAATATCTCTCTTCAACTGTGGTGCCCAGAATTGGACACAATATTCCACTTGTGGAATATTGCAGAGCGGAATAGAGCATGGGGAGCATGACTTCCCTAGATCTAGACACTAGGCTCCTATTGACGCAGGCCAAAATCTCATTGACTTCTTTTGCCGCCACATCACATTGTTGGCTCATGTTCATCTTCCTCCCCACGAGGACTCCAAGATCTTTTTCATACATCCTGCTCTCGAGCCAGGCCTCATCGTCCCCTATTCTGTCTCTTTGCATTTCGTTTTTTTCTGGAGAAGGCGGAGAAGTCAGAGTGCCACTTTAGAGCCCACGGAGGAAGAGGCTCTAAAGTGGCTCAAATGTTAAACGGATGGCTTCAGCCACACTGGACAGGCTTGTGAGGTGGGCCAGCCTTGGGTCTGTGCAAAGAGCGCAGCCTCCCCTTCTGGGTTGCTGTGTCTGCTCAAAGGAAGTGCAGGATCTGCACCAGGTGTCTCCTATGGCCAAACCTATGAGTTCCCCTTACCTAGCATTGAAAGGGATTGCTGGATCCAAGAGCAGGAACACCTCTGTCCTTAAACTGACTGGAATGAGTCCAGAGGAGGGCGACTAAAATGATCAAGGGTCTGGAGAACAAGCCCTATGGGGAGTGGTGATCGGCACACTGGGTGCAGTGCCTCAAGACCTTGGCCGGCACTTAAACACAATCGGTGCTGACAAAATTACCATCTGCCAGCTGCAGAAGGCCACTTTACTGGGATCTGCATACGTTATTAGCTGATATGGCCTATAAAGCCCTAAACGGTTCTGGCCCAAGTTACCTATCCGATCGCATCTCTGCCTACGAACCCATTAGGACTTTGAGATCTTGGGGGAGGCCCTGCTCTCGATCCCGCCTGCAACACAGGCACGGTTGGCGGGGACGAGAGACAGGGCCTTCTCGGTGGTGGCCCCTCGGCTGTGGAACGCCCTTCCCATGGACATTAGATCAGCTCCCTCACTAATGGTATTTTGGAGAAAAGTGAAAACCTGGTTATTTGAACAGGCGTTTGAATAGGCAGTGTAATGAATTCAGGAATGGAACTACGGATGACGAGTTTGGATCATGATTCTAGTTATGAGACGCCAGTTGAATGTTTACTACTGTTTAATTGTTTAGTCTGCTTCTGTGTTAATTGTTTTTAAGTACCTTGTTGATGCCGCATTGAATTTTTGCTTTGATTGCTTTGCTTTGCTTTGCTTGATTGTTGTTAACCGCTATGAGTCGAGGGCTGAGAATAGTGGTATACAAATGAAGTAAATAAATACTCACACAGTCCTAGGCACTTGGGAAGTGTCCAACGTGTGATCCAATACAAGAGCTGGCAGAGTGATCTTGCTTGCTGTGGACTCATCTTGTTGTGTTTCACATAATAATAATAATAATAATAATAATAATAATAATAATAATAGCAACTGTTTGTACCCCGCCTCCATCTCCTCAGAGGGACTTGGGGTGGTTTATATGGGAAATAAGCCTAGTCAACATATTTATGTAGACAAAGCAGTAAAATTAGCAACCCCCCCAAAAAAAAAACAGTAAAGTTCCCAAAACAAAGGATAGTTCATGAGCTTCAAGGCAAAATAGATCCATTGGAACAACAATCCATGAAACAAGGCAGCAATAATCCAATATACAACTCAGGAGCTTGGCAAAAACTTGGTACATGGAACTAAGAACACTTGAGAGCAAGACCGCCATGAAATTCCAGCGTTGACCCAACTGAGGCAACTCTTTCCCATGAATCAACATAAGTCTTTTCCAGATCCCAAAACCAAAAGGACAGCATTCCTCTTGACCCTACCACTGGATAAACGTTACTTATCTCTCTTTTCTTGTAAACGAACTGACCTTCTTTGCACCTGAGCATTCTGTCTCTGTTTACAAAAGTCTTGCCTTCTATCTACACTCTCATTAACTTGACTCTCATTAACTTGACTCTTATTAGCTTCTGCACCTGACAAATCAGCTTCAGACGGTTGCTCTGAGAAAGACTGTGAAGGGCCCCTCCCAGGAATGTGGCCTTGTGAATCTTCTTGAGACAACTCGGGCCTCTCGTCTGAGCTTAACTCAGGCCCAGGCAAACCCTCATCCCCACTGCCAACAGACCCAGGCCCATGAACATCAGAAACAATCACAGGCTGAACAGGCTGACATACAACAAGGGGTTCCTAAGGCCATCAAAAATTTGTGCCCTGACCCCCAGGTTGAGAAATGTTGCTTTAGAGCAGTGGTTCTCAACCTGTGGGACCCCAGGTGTTTTGACCTACAACTCCCAGAAATCCCAGCCAGTTGTTTTGGGAGTTGAAGGCCAAAACATTTGGGGACCCATAGATTGAGAACCACTGCTTTAGAGGGCCTTCCTATCTGCACCTGTGGAGTTACCAAACCACGTGCAGATACAGTAGGTTAGGACACTCCCTATAGCACAGAAGGAGAATGTCTCCAACAGTTTTTCATTCAGTTGTTGGTTCAACTTCCATAGGGGAGCAGGAAGGCAGTACCCCCACCTTGACAGATTCCCCAAGGGCCTGGGGAGGGGCTCGTGCGGGACCCCCACCCACCTTGACCCTCTTCTTTCTCCCCCCAGGTTCAGGCAGCAGGAGAGGATGGGTCGACGGTGTTGGGCGCTGCTGGGCGTGCTTTGGGGGTCCTGGTTGTGGGTGGGGCTGGTGGCCCAACGGAGCACCCCCTCCCCTCCAAGGCAGACCACGCCCGGAGGGGCCACCCCCGCCCCCAAGCTGCAGTTCCGCCTGGCCGGCTATCCCCGCAAGCACAATGAGGGCCGGATTGAGGTCTTCTACCGCCAGGAGTGGGGCACCATCTGTGACGACGACTTCTCTTTGGCCAATGCCGAAGTCCTGTGCCGCCACCTGGGCTTCATGGGGGCCACCGGATGGGCCCACAGCGCCAAATACGGCAAAGGAGTCGGTGAGTTGCAAGCTTGGTAGATGCAGGGAATGCTGTGGATGTAGCATGTCTGCCTCGGAGTGTGGTGGAGGCTCCTTCTTTGGAAGCTTCTAAACAGAGGCTGGATGGCCTTCCTTTGGGAGTGCTTTAATTGTACTCTTCCTACATGGCAGGATTGGACTAGATGGCCCATGAGGTCTCTTCCAACTCTATGACTCCATGATTCTATGATTCTAGGAGTCCAGAGGAAGAGGAGACTCAAAGGATCCAAGGTCTGGAGACCATGAATGATCCCTCTGAGGAGCGTCTTAAAGAGCTGGGTCTGTTTAGCTGCAGAAGAGAAGGTTGAGAGGAGATATGAGAGCCATATAAATATGTGAAGGGATGTCATAAGGAAGAAGAAGCACGCTTGCCTCTGCCCTAGAGACCAGGACTCAAGGGAGCCATGGATTCAAATAACAGGAGATGAGATTCCACCTGAACATAAGGAAGAACTTCCTGACCATATGAGCTGTTCATTAGTGGAAATCTCTGCCTTGGAGTGTGGTGGAGGCTCCTTCTTTGGAAGCTTCTCAACAGAGGCTGGATGGCCTTCTTTTGGGGGTGCTTTGATTGTGCTCTTCCCACATAGCAGGGTTGGACTAGATGGTCCATATGGTCTCTTCCAACTCTATAATTCTATGAGTAGGCAGAGAGGGGGAGGGGTTGCTCTTGCTTTCTGTCCTTCTTCTAGAAGAAGAGCAGCCCAGAAAGGACATCCTTGTTCAGGACCACCTGACCCAATGGGTCACACCTGGGTCACCTGTGTGGAGGCCAATTTGGCATGGGCTGCACTCATAGAATCCTAGAGTTGGAGGAGACTTGGTGGGCCATCTAGTCCAACCTCATTCTGCCAAGAAGCAGGAAAATCGCCTTCAAAGTACCCCTGACAGATGGCCATCCATCCTCTGTTTCAAAGCCTTCAAAGAAAGAGCCCCCACCACACTCCAGGGAAAGCAGAGAGTTCCACTGCTGAACAGCTCTTCCTCTCACCATCAGGAAGTTCTTCCTCATGTTCAGGTGGAATCTCCTGAAGTTTGAAGCCATGGCTCCATTGCATCCTAGCCTCCAGGGCAGCAGAAACACTCGCTCTCTCCAGCCTTCCCAGAGGTCAGCTGTGAGGAATACTGGGTTGTTGTAGGTTTTTGGGGCTATATGGCCATGTTCTAGAAGCATTCTCTCCTGACGTTTTGCCTGCATCTATGGCAAGCATCCTCAGAGGTTGTGAAGGTGGAGATGGAGAAAGGAAAAGAAAGATGGAGATGGTGATGGAGATGGAGAAAGGGAAGAAGAAGGAAGAAGGGAGAAAGACCTCACATCCTCTGAGGATGCTTGCCATAGATGCAGGTGAAACGTCAGGAGAGAATGCTTCTAATACATGGCAATATAGCACAAAAACCTACAACAACACAGTGATTCCAGCCATGAAAGCCTCCGACAATACATTGTGAGGAATACTGTCTGAAGATGGCTTCAAACTACAAGAAAGGAGATTCCATCTGAACATGGGGAAGAACTTCCTGACTGTGAGAGCCGTTCAGCAGTGGAACTCTCTGCCCCGGAGTGTGGTGGAGGCTCCTTCTTGGAAGCTTTTAAACAGAGGCTGGATGGCCATCTGTCAGGGGTGATTTGAATGCAATATTCCTGCTTCTTGGCAGAATGGGGTTGGACTGGATGGCCCAGGAGGTCTCTTCCAACTCTAGGATTCTAATGATTCTATGATTCTAAGAACAGGTTCAGGAGTTTTAAAACATGTGCAAATGGATGGCCATCTGTCAGGGGTGATTTGAATGCAATGTTCCTGCTTCTTGGCAGAATGGGGTTGGACTGGATGGCCATGAGGTCTCTTCCAACTCTTTTTGATTCTATGATTCTAAGAACAGGTTCAGGAGTTTTAAAGCATGTGCAAAGTGCATTTCTTATTGAGAGATGGAGTTCCTTTCCATCAGCACCTTCTCCCACCCGCTTCCCTCCCTGATCTTGATCTATGGCTCTTTGTGGCTCCTCAGGGCGCATCTGGTTGGACAACCTCAACTGCGGAGGAAGCGAGAAGAGCGTTGCGGATTGCCCTTCGCGCGGCTGGGGAAACAGTGACTGCTCGCATGAGGAAGACGCCGGCGTGATCTGCAAGGATGAGCGCATCACCGGCTTCGTGGACTCCAACGTCATTGAGGTGGGGTCCGCATGCGGGGAAGGGAGAGGGTCTGAGGCTGGTCTCCTGGAGGAATGTTGGCCTTTTCGAGGATCTGGGAGTCTTCAGAGATCGCAAGTTGAACATGAGCCAACAGGATGTTGAGGCAGGTTGAAATGCCAATGTGATTCTAGACTGTATCAGTAGGACTTACTTAGGCGATCCCTCATAGTCTGAGGTTCTGTTGGTGGGTCCGTAGGCGACTGTGGAGCCCTCTTCTTGATCTGCATCTTCTCCCGCAGTGAGGGCATTGGTTTCCAGGTGGAAGGCGGTCCCGGTCGGGGTTGGCTTGACGCACCTTCCTATTGGCATGCTTCTCCAGTGAATCATTTGCGCCACAGAGTTGTGCCTCTGTTTGTAGTCCGTCTGTGCAATTTTCTTGCAGCAGCTGAGGAGATGGTCCATGGTTTCATCAGCTTCCTTGCACAGTCTGCATTTTGAGTTCTTCTTCTGATTTTTTGATCCTGGCCTTAGTTGTATTTGTTCTGATGGCTTGCTCCTGAGCTGCAAGAATCAGGCCTTCTTCTGTCTCCTTCTTCAGGGTTCCATTCATGAGCCATTACCAGGTCTTCTCCTTGTCAACTTTTCCTTCAATTTTGTCAAGGAACTGCCCATGCAAGGTTTTCCTGTGCCAGCTCTCAGCTCTGGTTTGGAGTGCAGTTTTTCTTCTTCCTCCTCCTCTTCCTGTCCTCCTCCTCTTCTTCTTCCTCTTCCTCTCCCTCCTCCTCTTCTTTTTCCTCTCCTCCTCCTCCTCTTCTCTCCTCCTCCTCTTCCTTCTTCTTCTTCTTCCTCTCCCTCTTCCTCCTCTTCTTCCTCTCCTCTCCCCCTCCTCCTCTTCTTCTTCCTCTCCTCCTCCTCCTCTCCCTCTTCCTCCTCTTCTTCTTCCTCTCCCTCCTCCTCTTCTTTTTCCTCTCCTCCTCCTCCTCTTCTCTCCTCCTCCTCTTCCTTCTTCTCTTCCTCCCTCTTCCTCCTCTTCTTCCTCTCCCCCTCTCCTCTTCTTCTTCCTCTCCCCCTCCTTCTCTTCTTCTCCTCTCCCTCATACATCTTCCTCCCTCCCTCCATCCATCCCTTCTTTCCTTCTTTTGTCTTCCTTTCTTTTTCTTTTGTTCCCCCTTCCTTTCTCTTCCCTTCTTTCTCTTTCTCCCCTTCCCCTTGGCTCATCCCTTTCCTCTTCACAGACTCTTTGGCAAAACCCACAGCCCAGTACCTCCCTTTTCCCACTTCCACCTCCCATGCAATCTTGGGTTCCTTTCCAGTGCCAAATCCTTTATGAATGTTTTCTTTCCTCTGCCTCCTCTTCATCTCCCTCTTCACTCATATACGTTTATCTCTTGCACTCCCCTGTGTTTTCCATCCTATCTTTAGTCTATCCTACTCCTCACCTGCTTTCTCTCATCCGCCTGCTTCCTTGTGACCTTCTCACTCATGTCCCTCCACACCTCCATGCCGCGTGCTCTCTGTGCACACACACAGAACCCTCTCCTCTCTACTTCTCTTCCCCCTCCTCCTCCTCCTCCTTCTTCTTCTCTTCTTCCTCCTCCTCTTCTTCCTCTCCCCCTCCTCCTCTTCTTCTTCTCTCCCTCCTCCTCCTCTTCTTCTTCTCTCCTCCTCCTCCTCTTCTGCCTCTCCCCCTCCTCCTCTTCTTCTTCCTCTCCTCCTCTTCCTCTTCTTCTCTCCTCCTCCTCTTCTTCCTCTTCCTCTCCCCCCTCCTCCTTCTTCGTATTTGTCCGAACGGATCTCCCTCTACGTCCCATCTCGGAGTTTAAGATCTTCTGGGGAGGCCCTGCTCTCAACCCCGCCTCTATCTCAAGTGAGACTGGCAGGGACGAGGAGCAGGGCCTTCTCGGTGGTGGCCCCTCACCTGTGGAACTCACTCCCCGGGGAGATTAGATCAGCGACCTCCCTTTTGTCATTCAGAAAAAAACTGAAGACCTGGATATGGGACCAAGCTTTTGGACATTCTGGCAGCTAAAGGAAAGACCCGATGATGAGCAGGAATTGATGGAACGGAATGGACATTCGGAACTCTGAACACTGAGCATGAGATTGTTTACTAGTACATTATGTATTGATGTTTTTAATCTGTTAATTTGTTTAAATTGTTTATGTATGTTTGTATAATTGACATAGGCATTGAATTGTGCCTTTGTTTGTAAGCCGCCCTGAGCCCCCCCTCGGGGGTGAGAAGGGCGGGGTAGAAGTAACTGAAATAAAAATGAATAAAATAAAATTATGGCCTTACAGCGTGAAAAACTCACAGCAACCCAGTGATTCTGGCCATGAAAGCCTTCAGCAACTAAAAGCAGTTTAATATAAAAGCATCAGCATACAATTTAAAATATGCAAATATGCAAGCATTAAAACGGGATTAAATATAAACAATAATTTTTTTAAAAAATCCCAGTTAAAAACCATTAAAACATCAGAGTTAAAGACCTCCTCAGTGTAAACACTCTGTGCTGCTATTAGTCGATTGGTGCAAATGGTTGGCAGTCAGAAAGTTGCCAAATTTTCAAGACCCCAACACTGGGCTAAGAGGACCCCATTTGGAGTCAGGACCCACTGTTTACAAAGCCCTGGACTAGAGGACTCTCCTGGTCATGCCTCTAGTACTTTTATTAGGTTTACGCACAGCTCATTTCCCTTTGGTGCAGGGAAGAAGGGCTCCCTGGTTCATGTGAGCCCCTCACCTGCCTTGTATTTGTGTGTGTGTGTGTGCATTTGGTGAGCAGCTGGTAGGCTTATTCTCTTTCGAATCCCACCACCGCCTTCTCCTGTGGCACTGAATTCCACAGGTTAATGATGCCTCATGCAAAGAGCCCATTTATGGTTGACTAAGCGTCATCCGCAAGAGCAGCAATTAGCAGCCTAATGAGATCATTCTACCCGCTGCTGCTGAAGATTTTCCTTGAGCGACTCAGTTCCACAGGCATCCATCCATCCTCTGCGACAGCCAACCGCCTTTCCACAAACATGAGAAGCAAATTGGGCCCCCCCCAACACAGCCCCCGTTTGGGAAGCAGGCTTGTTTACAAGGAAGCCGCGCAGATTTTCCCGAGTCTGGAAAGAGGCTGGAAGCCTTCCTCGGATGACGGAGGGAAGGAAGGAATGTTGTGGGCGGCCTGACTCTGCGGCAGGAGGAAGTGCCCCCCCCTTCCCAAGCCAGCTGCAGGCCAGCCATCTCCCCAAAGAGCACGCACGGCCAACTGGCTGGCTGGCTGGGAAGATGATGGGCGGGGGCCCCAGGCCGGGCTCTGCAGCATTGCTTCCCAGGGAAAGGCCAGGCCGGGGGCAGCAAGGGAAGCCCCTTCCTCACAACCCACAACCAGACCCCAGGTATTGTGTTTCCCTCCCAAGAGAGGTGATGCAAACCTCCAGTTGTAATTGAATTCACATTGGCTGTTGCTTCGACTCCCGTCTCTCCCAGAATACAAGGACTGGCCCAGTTTGGAATCGTAGTACGGCAAACTGGTGGTAGGATCAGGACCAAGCAATAGAGGAGGCTGTGCAACCCACTCAGTGCCCATTGTGATTCTTTCAAAATTAGGCCCTTACTGGGTCTTGAGCCACTGGATCAGAGGCAGTCTTGGCCCCTGTATACATTGTTCCCTCGCTACTTCGCAGTTCACTTTTTGCAGACTCACTGTTTGTCAGATTCTGGCAGACCACCAAAGGCACTGTTCGGTCTGCCTGTTTTGACTAATCTCCTGCCTCCTATCTATTTGCTCATTAAGTTTTGCAGCTGGGCCAGGTGCCCAGTTGTTTTCAAGCCCCAAATCCTGGGAACTCTCTGGTAGCAATTCAGGGAGTACACCATCATCCCCACACCCTTCAGGGACATTCTCATGGGAAACTACACTTTGCACAGGGGTCACCTGGTCCTTCTTCCATTGATTGGAAAACAACCCTTTATTGAAGATAGTTAAAAAGCAGCAAGTAAAAAGCACTTTAAAGAAATAGGTAAATCCAATTAGTTAAGAAGATAAGCAGGAGCAAAAATAGACTAGGGTAAAGTTCAGCAAAGTCCAAAACAACAAAGTCCACACTTCTCTAATATAATTCAGCAAACCAGGAAACATTAATCCAAGGCATGAATAGGCATTCATACAATCCAAGAATCCAAATCATGAAACAAGAAATACTTAGACAAGAATCTTCCCAGCAAGGCTTCCATGAACAAGAATGAGAACGTCCCTTGATTCCAAATGATGCTTCATCTGACTATATTTCCCATACTTAGAACTTTTATCCCCTTGTTAAGTTATTCCCAGCACTCAGAAATTGGTTTTGTTTTAATTGAGATTCTCTTATATTTTTCTATTGGATTCTGGCAGACCGCCAAAGGCACTGTTCGGTCAGCCTGTTTTGACCAATCTCCTGCCTCCTATCTATTTGCTCATTAAGTTTTGCAACTGGCCCAGGTCCCCAGTTGTTTTCAAGCCCCAAATCCTGTGAACTCTCTGGTAGCAATTCAAGGAGTACACCATCATCCCCACACCCTTCAAGGACATTTTCACACTTTGCACAGGGGTCTCCTGGTCCTTCTCGGCATCAGTATCATTGACCGAACCATTGCCATCTTGAAATTCATTGGCATCACTTCCCACATCCAAAGCATCCTGATCCTGAAACACAATCACAGGATGAACTCCAACAGAGCCTGTTGTCCTTAGACGCCCTTCTGATCGAATTGCCAGCATGTCTTAATTGATCTACTCACATGCCTGTTTTTGAATCGCTAGATAAGCAGAAGCTAGGGCTGACGGCAGGAGCTCACCCCGAATCACGGCTTGAACTGCCAATCTTCTGATTGGCAAGATTTTCTGCAGCTGGCAGTTTAACCCGCTGTGCTAACGGCAGGGTTGGCTTAAATACGCTTAAAGCACCAGATCTCAAGTGGGGTCAGCCCTGGTTAGGACTTGGATGAGGACTTGAGACTTGGGCAATGTGAATTTGAATTCCAACAGGTTTGACCATTACCCTCCCCTTCCCTCCCTGCAGACGGAACAGAACCAGCTGGAGGAGGTGCGCCTGCGCCCAGTGGTGTCGCACGCCAAGCGCCCGCTCCCAGTGGCCGAAGGCATCGTGGAGGTGCGCCACCGCAACGCCTGGGCCCAGATCTGTGACGAGAACTGGGGCAGCCGGAACAGCCGTGTGGTCTGCGGCATGCTGGGCTTCCCGGCGGAGAAGAAGGTCAACCGCAACTTCTACAAGTGAGTCAGGGGATGCGCAGATGTGGCAGTGTGGAGAGCCAGAGTGGGTATGTGGGAGTAATTTGGAGGGTGGGTGGGGGGAGTCTGGTTTATATTACCTTTTCAGTTGCTTCGAGTGTCTTCCCCTTGCATTTCTCTCAGGGCACCTGCAGCTTTGCAAAGCCCTAAAAGGGTAGCAGTTTCAGAGGCGGGAAAGCCAGCCTGCAGACCCTTTGCAGCTATTGGCCTAGAGAGCCGCTCTTTGAGTTTAGAGCCCACCCTTTCTCCCAGGGAAGGGATCTCCATTTTAGAATCTCCCCTGCCTTTTCTGTCTAAAGGAAGAATTCAGATGTGCTGGTGGCCAGATCAGGGTAGCTCTGAGAAACCATTGCAAGTACTATTGAGCTATTAATGTTGAGTTATAGATAACTATTGAGTTTATAGAGAAATTATAGATAGATAGATAGATAGATAGATAGATAGATAGATAGATAGTGCCTAGATTTAGGGAAGTCATGCTCCCCATGCTCTATTCTGCTTTGGTTAGACCACACCTGGAATATTGTGTCCAATTCTGGGCACCACAATTCAAGAGAGATATTGACAAGCTGGAATGTGTCCAGAGGAGGGCGACTAAAATGATCAAGGGTCTGGAGAACAAGCCCTATGAGGAGCGTCTTAGGAGCTGGGCATGTTTAGCCTGAAGAAGAGAAGGCTGAGAGGAGATATGATAATAGCCATGTATAAATATGTGAGAGGAAGCCACAGGAAGGAGGGACCAAGCTTGGAGACTAGGATGCGGACAATGGCTTCAAACTACAAGAAAGGAGATTCTATCTGAACATGAGGAAGAACTTCCTGACTGTGAGAGCTGTTCAGCAGTGGAACTCTCTGCCCCGGAGTGTGGTGGAGGCTCCTTCTTTGGAAGCTTTTAAACAGAGGCTGGATGGCCATCTGTCAGGGGTGATTTGAATGCAATATTCCTGCTTCTTCGCAGAATGGGGTTGGATGGCCCATCAAGTCTCTTCCAACTCTTTGAGTCTATGATTCTAATAGAGAAGCTATTGAGAAAGTATTGAGTTTATTGAGGAGCTATTGAGTTAGATAGATAGTATTGAGCCTTTGCCTCCAAAGGTAACTTTGAGCAATAGATAGGGAAAAAACCTGCTTTTTTTCTGACCATAGGAGCTCAGGGTTAAGGTAAGGGATTCCAGAATTCTTTTTACTTTTTGGAGGAAGGGAAAACTCATCTCTATGCTTTTGACTGTTTGTAACTTTGATAAGCTGTGCCAAGTCTGCAGGGACTTAAACAGAGGATGGATGACCATCTGTCAGGGGTGCTTTGAAGATGGTTTTCCTGCCTGGCAGGGGGTTGGCCTACATGGCCCATGTGGTCTCTTCCAACTCTGCTATTCTATGATTCTATGAAATGATGTTGATGTGGAGGGGTGAGGAGTGAGTGGGCTTGGAGTGCATGCTTAGCAAAGTTGTCCTGAAGTGAGCAAGCGGTCTTGGAAAGGAGTGTGTCCGGTGCCTCAGTCGGTGCAAGATTTGGAAACTCAAGTGAGTAGGATCATTAATGGCAAAGCCCATCGTTCCCGGTTAATCACCACCACCATCACCATCACCAAAACTCTGCCCTGAAGAGGCTGTTGGCTTTCCTCCGCAGGCGATTCAAGCGAGCGGCCAAGGCGGCCCCCCGAGGCCAGAGCAAGGACAGGAGGAGGAGGCGCCCGCTGCCCCCAAAGCCCCCCAAGAGGTAACGGGCCGGCCAATGGTCCAGGCGGTTGCCCTGGGCAACTCTCAGCTGGCACCGTGACCACCAAGGCCCGGCCCCGCTCCTGCCCGCATCCCCAAGATCGGGCTGAGCCCCCCGTTTGGCTGGATTGATCCCTCGTGCCTCATCCGGCTGGATTTGTTGGCTATGAATCCACCCATAGGATGCAGGAGACAGAGAACCTCATCCCCAGACTGGCCCCACATGCATGCTCCCCCTTTCTCACTTCATGCCTCTATCTAGAGGGATGGCGAGCTGTCTAACCAATGGGTCGGCCCCATTGGACTTAAGGGCATGAGGTTCATCTGGGAAAAGGGTGCCAGGGGAAGGGGCTTGGCTTGAGCAGCTTGCTTGGAAGGGTGGGAGTAGGTTTCCTGCAGCTGACGGGTGGTAATTGTTTTCAAGTGCAGGCCAAGGTCTTTAGGCACTGCACCCAGTGTGCCGAACACCACCCGGACCTCCTTGACTGGCTTTTGACAGAGTCTTTGCAGTTCAATCTTTAAATCCTCATATTGTGTCAGCTTTTCCAGTTGCTTCTCGTCAATTCTGTCGCCTGGGATTGCAACATCAACAATCCATGCTTGCTTTTTCCCCCACAATCATGAGGTCAGAAGTATTGTGCTCCAAAACTCTGTCAGTCTGAATTCAGAAGTCCCAGGAGGAGTTTGACGTTTGTAGGCAGACATGTTATTCAATGTGCAAACTGCTAACATTATTATTATTATTATTATTATTATTATTATTATTACTAGCCGTCCCCTGCCACGCGTTGCTGTGGCCCACATGGTGGTTCTGTGTGGGAGGTTTGGCCCAATTCTATCGTTGGTGGGGTTCAGAATGCTCTTTGATTGTAGGTGCACTATAAATCCCAGCAACTACAACTCCCAAATGTCAAGGTCTATTTCCTCCAAACTCCACCAGTATTCACATTGGGGCCTATTGTGTATTTGTGCCAAGTTTGGTCCAGAGCCATCATTGTTTGAGTCCACAGTGCTCTCTGGATGTAGGTGAACTACAACTCCCAAACTCAAGATCAATGCCCACCAAACTCTTCCAGTATTTCTATTGGTCATAGGAGTTCTGTGTGCCAAGTTTGGTTCAATTCCATCATTGGTGGAGTTCAGAATGCTCTTTGATTGTAGGTGAACTATAAATCCCAGCAACTACAACTCCCAAATGTCAAGGTCTCTTTCCCCCAAACTCCACCAGTGTTCACATTTGGGCATATTGAGTATTTGTGCCAAGTTTGGTCCAGATCCATCATTGTTTGAGTCCACAGTGCTCTCTGGATGTAGGTGAACTACAACTCCAAAACTCAAGGTCAATGCCCACCAAACCCTTCCAGTATTTTCTGTTGGTCATGGGAGTTCTGTGTGCCAAGTTTGGTTCAATTCCATCGTTGTTGGAGTTCAGAATGCTCTTTGATTGTAGGTGAACTATAAATCCCAGCAACTACAACTCCCAAATGACAAAATCAAAAATTTTTGAGTGAAGGACATACATTGGGTTGTTAGGTGTCTTGTGTCCAAATTTGGTGTCAATTCGTCCAGTGGTTTTTGAGTTCTGTTAATCCCACAAACGAACATTACATTTTTTATTTATATAGATTATTATTATTATTATTATTATTATTATTATTATTATTATTTTATTGACACAAAAGCACAGTATGTCACAGCAAACGAGATCTATATGCTGGATTTCGTATCACAAAATCACAAGTCGAACACTTCCCAAGCGTCTAGGACTGTGTGATGTATTTTCGAATGATGCACGCAGATCCAAGTCAGGTGGCCTTTTGCAGTTGACAGATCTGAACATGAGGAAGAACTTCCTGACTGTGAGAGCCGTTCAGCAGTGGAACTCTCTGCCCCGGAGTGTGGTGGAGGCTCCTTCTTTGGAAGCTTTTAAACAGAGGCTGGATGGCCATCTGTCAGGTATGCTTTGAATGCAATATTCCTGCTTCTTGGCATGGGGTTGGACTGGATGGCCCAGGAGGTCTCTTCCAACTCTTTGATTCTAGGATTCTATGATCGTGATTTTGCCCATGTTTATTGTTTCCAAATGCCGGCTGAGATCTTTTTGCATGGCACCCAGTGTGCCCATCACCACTGGGACCACCTGGACTGGTTGATGCCATCAGAGCCTTTGCAGTTCGATTTTGAGGTCTTGATAGCGGCTGAGTTTTTCCTGTTGTTTTTCCTCAATGCGACTCTCACCTGGAATGGCGACATCAATAATCCAGACTTTTTTCTATCCGGTTGTGATCCCCAGGTTGTGCCAGCCAGCTTTCGTATGATATTGTTTCTAGCACCCACTTTTTGCTTGATGTTCAGGCAGTGCTTCTTGTAGGTCAGAGCACGGTCCAGAGTGACTCCTCCCAGGTATTTGGATGCGCTGCAATGCTCCAGTGGGATTCCTTCCCAGGTAATAATCCTCAGAGCTCGGGATGCTTGTCTGTTCTTAAGGTGAAAAGCACATGTCTGTGTTTTAGATGGATTAGGGATCAGCTGGTTTTCCCTGTAATAGGCAGTAAGAGCACCTAGAGCTTCGGAGAGCTTTCTGTTCCACCATTTCAAACCTCCCTGCTTGGGTGGTGATGGCACGATCGTCAGCGTAGATGAAACTCCCTGTCCCTTCTGGCAGTGGCTGGTCATTTGTGTCAATGTTAAACATGGATGGGGCAAGCATGCTCCCCTGAGGCAGGACAGTCTTCTCTTTGCACCTTCTGCTTCTCTGGCCCAGAAGGGGTGTTACATAGTGTTATTGTTATTATTATTATTATTATTATTATTATTGTATCCCACTTTTTCTCCCTGAAAAAGAGACCTGAACGTTTTTGTCCCCTGGAAGCAATGCGTACGAGTACAAACTCAACCGTGCTGCTCCTCCCAAAAGACTTTCCCATTCCCTTGAAGCCCCCTAACCCAGTGTTTCGCAACCTGGGGGTCGGGACCCCTGAGGGGGTCGCAAAGGGGTGTCAGAGGGGTCGCCAAAGACCATCAGAAAACACAGTATTTTCTGATGGTCATGGGGATTCCATGTGGGAGGTTTGAGCCAATTCTATGGTTGGTGGAGTTCAGAATGTTCTTTGATTGTAATGAACTATCAATCCCAGCAACTACAACTCCCAAAAGTCAAGGTCTATTTTCCCCAGGCTCCACCAGTGTTCACATTTGCGCATATTGAGTATTTGTTCCAAGTTTGGTCCAGATCCACCATTGCATGAGTCCACAGTGCTCTC